GTGGGTGTGAGGCAGAGTCTTAATTTCACCTCTTTTCTTGCTCACTGCTCTGGGCCTGCTTGGAGCAGTCGTGTGTGGGCTGCCCAGTGGACTGGACCTTGGACTGCCACGCCCTTGGGATTGAACACTGTGCTCTCCTAGCTTTTCTCTGTAGAGCAGCCTGTCCTTGCCAGTGTACTCACACCTCAAGTAAGTGTTGATCAAAGTTATAGGTCATTCCCTGCTGTACTCTGGAGAATTAAGAGGAAAGGGCTGTTCCACACTGTGGATGAGGGGGCTGGGGAGCAGAGGTCAGAAGGCTGCAGCACCAGCTGCACCCAGCAGGGACTACATCCCAGTGACACTGGAACAAGAAGCAGGGCAAGAGGAACTGAGTGGGCACCAGGGACATGCTCGGCAGCTGCCTCACACCCCAAGTGTTGCCGAATCCTGACAACCAAACCCCTGGAGGATATGACTTTGAGAAAAACAAAAAACTATCTAAAGTAATACCTAATGGCAGAAAATAATTGGTAACTGAGGTTTCTATATATTACCAGTGGGAGTATAAATTAATAAAGGTACTCTGGATAGTTATTAGTAACCTTCATCTTTACAATCTAAAAATCCCTTTCATGCCTGCAATCCTTTTCTCATCTGTGCCGCAGTCTGGCTGGGCATAAATAACTGAGCCACCACACAGCCTTGTAGGTTCAAACAGCAACTCTTTATTCCCAAACTCTCACCAGCACTCCACACACACTTCCCGGGAACACACTCCCTCCACTCAGCAGCAGGATCCACCCTAATCCCAGCCGCCCTATTCCTGGAGCAGGGTCATCTTTCAACCATTCCCTCTAGCAAAATGCCAGGCTCATTCCGACTAAACTGTGGCTCTCAACACATCTGACCTTGACATTGACTCTTTTACCTGGAGAAGATAATTATCATCTTCCTTAAATAAAGGTGGGAACTAAGCCAGAGAGGCCACAAAACTCCCTCCAGCAGAGAAGGCCTGCACATTCTTTCCAAATATATGGACCCAGCCCTCTGAAACAGAATGCAAAAAAAGGCTGGTATAATGAGAAACTGTCCTGGCAGTGACCCCCTGGGCCTCCCTCCATGCGGAGGAGGCAGGGCTGTTTTCTTTGGCCTCTGTCCCATTTCTGATTGCTTCCCTAAATGCCCAACAGCCACTCTGAGATTACTCTAGAGTTTGAAAGGACCAAGAAGGGTGGTAGAAGGTTCTAGAAGACAATCAAGCATGTGTGTTCCTGCTAGAGACCATTGTAGTGCAAACACTTGCTCAGTGGACATGCTGTTAGGTCATGACAGGCAAGGGCTGTTTCAATGTCACCCAATTTCTGTTCTAGAAGGAGACTGCTAAGATTCCTTTATCTCAGGTCATGAAATGTCCCAGCAGGCCCAGTGTTTTGTTTCCAGCGTGTTGTCATGCAGCAAATACAAGAGTGGTACCTGCAGGAAGATGAGAATCCCTTTGATGGCACTAGGTACCTGATCAGCTAGTGGCAGGTCAGCAACTTCTACCTGAGAGCTGAGCAGTCCCATCTGAGCCTCTGGATAGCAACTGGGGACTTTTGAGCTTGCTCCATGAAGGCGTCCACACCCTTCCCAGTGGATCCAGAGGCATATTTTAATAGTAGCAATGACCAGCTAGGGACTTCCCTATGGCAATGACATGGGGGGAACTGATGTCATTCTAGTTGAAACATTTCAAATGACTGCATGGTGGCTCAAAGTCCCACATGCCACACATGCGTCAGGAAGTCACCTGTCCCATCCTCACCCGAGGAGAGGCCCTCCCTTACCAACTTCCCTCCTTTAGGCACCTGCTCCACCCACAGCCTGCTGCCTTCTCCTTTCTTGTCAGTTACCTGCTATGGGATACATTCCAAAGCCCCTGTGTCGAATGCTTGGTCCCCAGGGTGGCCCCCTAGGAGGGTGAAGGCTAGTAGGAAGTCCTTAGGGAACTGGGGGCGTGCCCTCGAGGGAACCGTGGACCCCAGTCTCTGTCTTTCTGCCTCCTGGCACATGGCAACAGGTGCTCTGCCACACACTCTTTCCATGCTGTGCCACCCTCACAGGAGGCACCTGACTTTGGGCTGTACACCAGAGCTGTGAGCTGTGCCTCACAGAGTGAGCCTTCACACGATGCAATCCTTTATGGAAAAATACAATTCCAATTCTAAAGGGGGAAGGTTGTTTTTTTTTTTAACATATTGAATGTTAAGTATTGTCTTCTATTGTGCATCAGGAGTCTTTCTTCAAACACCTGTTTGCTTATTTCTGGTTGCTTCGTCAAATTAGACAAAGGATATGGTTATAATCTGCTTTACTTTTTTTTTTTTCTTGCTTTTTCGAAACAAGAATTCTAAGACAAATCTATGATTTCTAATTTTGGGGTAAACACTAATCAGTGCTTAGGAAAGCTTCCGGTGTGATAAAAAGGTCTGAAAAGAACACAATACTGAAGGAAATGGAGAGGGGAACTGGTCACTTCCTTTATCTCCAGTCCTTTGGAGAGGATCTAAACAGTGACCCTGTTGTGAAGGAGGGTACTCACAAATTGAAGAAGGGAATTCACCTGTGCAGCAACTGACCTGTCCTGTCCACTCCCCTGTTTGTGGGAACCAGCAGGCTTCCACCGTACACAGGCTGGAAAAGCAAGTAACACAGTCCAAAACCTCTCTGTTGAGTCCTCTAAGTTCTTTTTTGGGATTGGCAAATAATACCCTTGGGGCATTTGCAGTCCTGGAGTTGAACAGTAATAATCATAAGATTTGGGTAAAACTTGGGGGAACCACCAACTGGAACATTAGTATCTGACAGTACTGACTGGATACAAGGTATCCATGATCCCCAAAAGGGAGCTCTTGAGGATCCACCATCATATATATGTAGGCTTATTTCAGTTCGGCTATATAAATATGTAGAGTCAGAAGAAAACAGAAAGCAATCTTAATTGAAAAACTATCCTATCATTATAACATGTTTGACTGGTCAGGCTTTAATATTGTCTATGCAAAATAAATCAAAGGTTAAAAGAGCAAAACCTAGTGGTGTGTTGGAAACTAGGCCTGGGTCTGATTTCTAGCTCTGCCACAGGCAAAGTAGCTTGTCCTTCGGCAAATTCCTGTTTTTCAGTCTCAGACTCACCCCATTCCCCGAATGTAGGGTAAAGAAGAGCAGTCCCTCCCTCTCATTATTACAAATGGGAAGGTAGGCTTATGTCCTTTTGGAAAATGGGGCACTTAAGGAGAGAGGAAATCATTGTGAGAGGATAGATATTAAAGAATTACTATAATTAAAGTCATTTGCAAAGAAAAATGAATGGTAGAGTGAACAGAGCTGAGATGAGTTCACAGGTATTTCCACCCTTAAAGTATTGCTTAAACTATTAAAATACTCTTTCTGGCCTCACCTGATAGACTGTGGAGCAAGAGACGTTTAACTCAGGCCCCGCAGCCCCTATTCATGCCGCACACATCTGTGGCGTCTGCGGGAGGGAAACGGACCTGGAGCCGGCGCTCGGTCCAGGAGGCATTCCCGGCGAGGCGGAGCGAGGCGCTACCGCCTGGGGTCCACCATCCACCTCGAGAACCTCTCCGCAGGCGCCCCAGAGCACCGAAGGGAAGAGCTCCGACGCCGCGGGAGCACTGCCTGGCCGGGCGCACGGACGCGAACCCCGGAGCCGGCGTGGCCTCAAAAGGCGCTGCCGCAGCCCGGCGCCGCCAAGCCGCTCTGGAGCCGGGCAGCCGCCCCCGGCAGCGCGGCGCGGGGAGGCCCCGCCCCCAGGCGCAGGCCCCGCCCCTCCCCGCCCCGTAGTCCCAGGTGTCAGCCCCAGTCTCGGCCGCGGCAGGCCCCGCCCCGCCGCAGGCCCCGCCTGCCTTCAGTTCGCGCTCAGCTCCGCAGCCGGTAGGACCAGGCTGCGGTGCTGCTCTTAATCCTTTGTGCTCCGCGGCGGCTTCGCGGGCTCTCACCGAAGCGTCCTCTCGCTCGCCAGCCCCGCGCTCTCTAGCGACGGACCATGGCGGCGGCGGGAGCAGGCGCGGGCGTGGAGGCGGGCTTCTCCAGCGAAGAGCTGCTGTCACTTCGCTTCCCGCTGCACCGCGCCTGCCGCGACGGAGACCTGGCCGCGCTGTGCTCGCTGCTGCAGCAGACGACGCGCGCTCATTTGGCCGCCGAGGACTCCTTCTACGGCTGGACGCCCGTGCACTGGGCCGCGCACTTCGGCAAGGTGGGCACGGGCGCTTTAAGGCGCCATTTTCCGCTGCTTTCCCGTGGGGGCTCGGAGAGGGCGGGGGCGCGGGGCGTGCTGGGAGCGCGGGGCGGAAGCGGGGTCGGCAGGCCTGCGCCCCTAGGGGCTAAGGGCGCATGTGCGGCGGCGCGCGGGGTGGCAGCCTGGGGGCCGCGGGGCGTGCCGGGAGCGCCGGGCGGAAGCGGGGTGGGCACCTCGAGGGCCCAGGGCGCATGTGCGGCGGCTAGTCCGGCTGGCCGGGTTTCAAACCCCCAAGCTCCCGAGGCGGGCCGGGCCCTGGCAGATGCGATGGTGGGGTCCGCCGCGTAGTCTCTTCGGCGGGGAGCTTCGTCGGGGGAAGGAATGCTTTTGGAGGGAATGGCCGGACTGCGCTGCGGTTGTGCGGAGGCCGCGCGTGCGTGCTTAGCGGAGCCGTGCGGCGCGTTCCGGAGGGCCGGACGCCGGTCGCTGGGGACAGTCGGCGGCGGCTGTCCGGAGAGTCTGCTGAGCGTCGCCTCTCTGGAGAGACAGTGGCCCTTAAAAATTTAGAGGGAGCGGCTCAGTCCCTCGCTGTGCAGTCGTGCTGCTCCTCAGAGACGAGTCTTAGCCTGAGTCGTGAGCGTCTCCGAGTGCCCTCGGAGGCGAGGGTCCGGACTGGGGGGCGGTGCCCGGGCTCTGGGGAGGGTCGGGGGTGGGGGGGCGCGGTGCCGGGGCTGAGAGGTGAAGGAGCACATGTGGAGGTGGGGGGCACCCTGCAGGAGAGGCACGGGTGCCTGGGCTAGAAGATGTGGGGGAGGCCCGTGCCCGGGCTGAGGCCAGGCGTCTGAAGGAGACCTGAGACCTAGCAGTTCTTGGCGCCACCCATTTCATCTCCTGGGGTGGCGTCTGATCTCAGACTGCAGCTGGGAAGAGCCACCCAGCCTTGTTGGGCACTCCCCAGTTAACAGGCCTCTCTCCGGAGGGCTCTTGCTAGGGCATATTTTTATACCAAGCTTTAGGAAACTTTGGATGTTTTTCCTGCCTGTTTTAGGGAGTAGGTCTTGCAGGCAAGAACCATCTTTTTCTTTTTTAAATACTTTTCTGATGATTCCATCCTACCCACCCTGGGATGGCACATGACTATGACAGTCTGTGGAGTCTGGAATGGTTACACTTTTGCTTCATGCAAATGGTCACTTGGAGTACTTATTTACCAACCCAAGGCGGTCCCAGTTATATTTGAGGACGAAAAATAGTCCTAATCCCTTAAAATATTAAATTTTATGCTATATGTATTTTACCACAATTTTTTAAAATGACCGAAATTATTTTTAAAAGGTCTTTTATCTCTACAGAGGAAGTGGTATGTTTGCTTTGGAGACTATCGTTGTACCAGAGGCCCATACTTTATGGGTTTTAGGTAAGGTAGGGATCTTGGAAAATCTAGTCTGGTGCCCGGGTTCCCACCTGTGAGAAGCAGCTCCTAGGGCAGAAGTTAGGCCTAGACTCGAAGCTTCTCCACCCTTTATCAATGGTTGCACTCTTTTTAACAGTTTCAGGCATATATCCTTAGATCATGCCCATGGCACACAAGTTACCGTGAGGCTTATTTGTTCCCAGAGTACTAAACATTAAAAATATCTAATTATACCTTGCTTTTTACAAGATACCATATTTAGCAAAACTTTCCAGAATTTCAAACCCAGTTTTTAACAGGCTTAGGTCCAGTGAACTCTCAACTAATGTTAAAGATTAACCACTTCCATTTTATTGGGTTTGACACCTATTCATCTTATTGCTAGTTGATACTTTTCATTTTTCACTTGGTAATAAAGGCAGTGTTCAATCTGCCTTCACTCCCAGTTTTACATTCATTTCAAACAGACCACATTTTAAATGTCTGTATTTCTGAGAGTTTAGCTCACAGGTGTGTAACTTGGGTGTCATGGAACATCTGTTCTCCTTGTGAGGTCTGTCCTCATTACTATAATTGTACTGGGGATTGAATCCAGGGGTGCTTTAGCACTGAGCTCCATCCCATCTTCTTAATTTTTTTTTTTTGGAGACTGGATCTAAGTTACTAAGACTGGCCTTGCAGTCTTCCTGCCTCCACCTCCCAAGTCATTGTGATCACAAGGAGTACCAGAGTCCTGGTGGTCCTCTTTAAACAAGGGAATGGGTGCATCCAGGATAGCTTTTTTTGTGGTCCGTGAGTAGAAAATAGGTTTCTCCACAGTGTGGGAGAACATGTGATTCAGTTGAAAAAATGCTGGGTGCCCGGTGGACTCTGGATAAATTTGTTGAATGTAATGTACTCTTTAGCCAGAGGCCAGCGTAGTATTCAGGCTTAGCTACAAATCCTTGTTTTAACTTGCTGGTCTTCAAGTTAGCTGCCTATTGGGTATAGAGCTCAGCTGTGTTGCCTTTTTTGCATACTTTTCTTTGCATACACAGATTTTAAAGACTGAAAATAAAGGTTGCACACCCCTGAAATCCCAGCTATCCTGAAGCTGAGCCAGGAGGATTGCAAGTTCAAGGCCAGCCTGGACAACTTAGAGTGTCTCAGGAAAAAAAAAAAATCCACAAGGGGGCTGGGGGTGTGCAGTACAGTTGCGCATTCCCTGTGGAAATAGCTACGTATGTTTTTGTAACTTACAGTCACTATGACTTATTATTCAAAATTGTATATGTATAAGTCTTAATAGAAGTTTTGGAGTAATGCACGCTGATCTTTTCTGATTTTGGATTTTTCTATTGTAGGAAAATCAAAATATTTGTGCATGTTTAATATTTTGCATTCTTTCCATCAGCTTTTTTTTAAAGGATGAGGAAAATGTCTTCTAAATACCTTTTTAAATTTGCATGGTGTTAGGAAGGAATTAATTTGTTCTCTCAAAAAAAAAAATGGGTAGCAAAAATGCCATTTGTCCCCAGTGTGGAAATTATATTATTTGTGTGGTATTTTATGTTATACCGACATGTTTGCCTGTTTTTATATCCCTCCCTGCTGTGTGCGAAGTTGGAGTGCTTAATGCAGTTGGTGAGAGCTGGAGCCACCCTGAATGTGTCCACTACACGCTATGCCCAGACTCCAGCTCACATCGCCGCTTTTGGAGGACATCCTCAGTGCCTAGTCTGGCTGATCCAAGCAGGGGCCAACATTAACAAACCGGTAAGAATGTAGGGGATTGACTCTGCTTTCCCAGTTATAATTACTCCCAGGGTATTGTTTCAAAGTGAGGCCTTAATTAATGAGTTTGAAGTGTTTACCTGAGGGTAGACTGGAGTGTTCCTTCAGTTATTATGGATAATAGACCCTTTCCAGAAGTTTGCATACTGTTCATAGAGTGCTTTTGCCTATTATGACTCACCAGATCATCTACTGCCATTAGGGTTGATTTGCCTAAGGTCACAACTGGTAATTGATGGTTCTGGCCTCCAGCTCAGGTTTCCTGGCTCCAGCTGCTTCAGCTTCACTTCACAGTCACTAAAAACACATCCATGCTAGCAAAAGGAGTGGCCTAGGTCAGCTTCAGACACACATTTGGGATGATGACTTTTCGAAAAGTCGATGTCATTTACTGAGTGGGAAGAATAAGTGATTCCAGCCCTTTGTGTTTAAATGTGCACCAATAAAATAATCCTAAGAAATGTGCACAGACTGAAGTGTGCATGCGCCCACATTTTTACTGGTGTTTTCAGCATCTTTTCACCAAATAATTAAAATCCTATTATTTTAATTATAAAATAAATAAAATCCTTTTATTTCCTCTCTCTTGCTTTTCTTTGTCTTTCCTAAGATACCTTCCTTGATCACGGCAGTTATAAAGTGGTTGTAGTTCCCTTCCTGAAGATGGCACAGCTACCCACCTTAACTGTAGCAGTTGAGGATAGGTATTTCGGCCAGGCTGGAAACATGGATAAGTGGGAAAAGAGTGCAGGGCATAATTGGGCAATTTGTTCTCTGTGAGAGACTTGTAGGAAAGACCCTATGGAGGAGAGGTCCTGGGTGGTAGGCTTGTTCTTATCATTGAGCTAGCCTTGGGCAGGCACACCTGTATTCTTTCCACACTACCTCCCTCTTCTCTGCACTCAGACGTGCCTTTATGTGTTTCTGCTGCTGCTGCTCTACTCTTCTGCTTGTGAATTATCTCCCATGTACCCTCCCGTGCTGGGCATCAGCACAGCTGCCCATTTGCCTCAGAACCTGCACCCTGGACTCCCTCTCTGCAGTTAGAAAGGGCACTATGGCCTGGGACAAGTCACTTAGAGAGATCTAAGGAATTTGCCTAGTATTGGTTTTTGAATCTAGAAGCTCCCTTTTCAGCTAGTGTCTCACAGCAGCTTCCTGTAGTGAACTAATAAAGGGTGTGGGCTGAGGGTATGCTCTTGCGCCTGCAACATCATTCAGGTGCCTCCGGGCAGCACCTCTTCTGTGCTCTGCTTCCCAGCACAAGACTACCTGATCCTCTCTCCTAGCAGCTTCCACTGTTGAAATACTTGCCTGATCAGAAGCCCCCAGGTCCTCATATCCACCCAGAGTGCCCACGGGCATTGTTGGGCACCCTAGAATCTCTTAGAGGGCCACAGGTTTTCATCTTTCAAGGTAAAGAGCTGTGGTCTAAATCTCAGGCATGGTCTTGCTCTTAATCCATGGGGGCTGGACTTGGCCTCTCTTGTAATGGGCACTCTGCTGTCCTAAGGTCACAGTAGCCCTCTGGCAGCTCCCAGTGTACCTCTGGCTTATCTTGTATAGTTTTTATCTGACATTTGTGTTTTAAGTTTTTGAACCTGGCATACCACTTCTGTTAACCTTTTGGTATGTAAGCTGCCAACAGTTTGACATTCGTTTTCCTCATGCTTTATACAGACTTCCTGGGTCATCTGTCAGGTGAGCTGAGAAATGGTAGAAAGCTGGTGTGCTGCCTGCAGGCCTGTGTTGGGCTTCCCCAAGAGGAAGTGAAGCTAGCTTTCATGTGCTCCATTTTTAGTGCTCATCTTGACTAGCTTTGCTCAGTATTTGAAAGCCAGCTCTGATTTCTAATATCTAGATCAGAAGTCAAAGGTTCCCTTTGTTAAAATCAAGGTGCCCTGCTGCCCTTGGAATTCCTGGCACATCTCCCTCTTCTCACAGTTTGCCATGGTTCTAGACTCACATTGCAAACTTAGGTGTTTTTGAGATGTGATTGGTCTGAACTAGAGACTCGGACACCCTTCACGTGGCCTTTTGCTCTTGGTATTCTCTCTCTTGACTGCAGATGTCATAAGCAGTGTCTGCTGTGCCCGCCAAGACTCTTCTTGTGTAACAAACCAGGGGCTGGATAGTTCTGCTTTTCAGTGTCTTCCTTAATGTCTGGTAATATTCTATCATCTTTTTGAAATAGTGTAGCAAACTCAGGTTTTTCATCTTGCTTGTAGTTTTCTTGTCAGTATTTTTACCCAGGGGGTTTTTTGGGGGGAGGGTGATACCAGGGATTGAACTCAGGGGCAGTTGACCACTGAGCCACATCCCCCAACCCTATTTTGTACTTGAGACAGGGTCTCACTGAGTTGCTTAGCACCTTGCCATTGCTGAGGCTGGCTTTGAATTCACATCCTCCTACTTCAGCCTCCTAAGCTGCTGGGATTACAGGCATGTGCCACTGCGCCTGGCCTTTATCTAGTTTTTATTTGCTTTATTATGTACCACTTCTCTCCCTTCCCCTCCTCTTTGGAAGAGTTCACTTTTTTGAATAGTCACATGGTTTGCTGGTTTTCTTTTTTCAAAAATAGAAATTTTTTGTTGTTGTTTGGGGTGTTAGATTTCTTTATATTCTGTTCACAGCCTTTTGGACCCTGATTGAAATATATGTACACACTCTTCCCTCCACTCTGCCCCTTGAGTCTCTCGTATTCCGTTTTCTGCAAAATAATGTGCCATGTTTGTTTTACTTGGGTGGCCTACACCTTACTGTCCTCCTCATGAGTCATTGTGCATTGAGAAGGAGCTCAGGTGGCCACTGGGTTTATGGAGGAGCTGCTTTTCCCAATGCTGCACACCATGCCCAGTTGCTCACTGGCTCGCTCTCAGTGAGGCTGTAGGCAAGTATGGCAGTGGTAGCTCCAGTGACAGTGAAGTGGGTTTATCCAAGAACTCTGGGTGCTTCACCCTCAGGATTCCCTGGACAAAAAAAAAAAAAAAAAAATTCTAAATTTTTCTAACAGAAGTGATGACTGCTTGGGTCTTGATTACATTTACTGTTTACTTGTTACTTGCCTGATAGCCTATGGACAGGTATGAAAGAGTCCATCCCTTCTGGTTGACTGTGTTAGAGTCCAGGGTGTTTTCCCTGAGTCTGCTTACTTCTGCTCTGTTCCCCTTTGTGTCTTCTTTGCTAAAACAGAAGTCTGTTTAGACTGCAGAGCCTGCTGTGTTGACCCTTGGGGTGGTCTCCTTCTGTCTTTGCCTGAGCCTTTGACCTCAAACCATCTTTTCTAAATATGGTTCCAAATCAAGAAAAAATTCAGGGTAGATAGGTAGAGGAACATGGGTAGGCTGGACTGTAAGTTAGCTAATAATATGTGCTATTTCAACTTGTCATAGGATAATTATTGGGGGTTTATGTGTACACATTGGTGCCAGGATTAAAACATTTGTGAATCCCGATTGAGAGCATTCATGCTGTCCCTGCTAAAGAGACCCCAGGATTTTGGGATATTGACCTTTAGCTAAATGCTTTGGAGAACACCACCCCTTCTCTAGTCTTTGTCTTCTCTTCACCTAGATGTTCCTTTGTATTATGCTTCAAATTATGCGATGCTCAGCTCGTTTGTGTCACAGGTGGATGAGAAGACCTCTGGCTTTTGCTAATTGTTCTGCTTTAAAATGTGGAAGATGTTGTTGGATCTGAGAATGGGTGTTGTGTGTTTCAGGACTGTGAGGGGGAAACTCCCATTCACAAGGCAGCCCGCTCCGGGAGCCTCGAGTGCATCAGTGCCCTGGTGGCGAACGGAGCTCATACTGAGTAAGTGCCTTCAATTATCCTCCCAAGCTAGAGAAGTAGTCAAGGTGTTTATATTCAAACCACAGCATGTAGAGCAAGCAAAAGCCCTAAAATCTTTATTTTTAAAATTAGTCACACAGTTTTGTTTTTTAGATCAGTTGGTGTTAGCAAGATTGTAGTCTGAGTTGACCACTGATTATCAGTAGGAGCTTAGTTCCATGATGGCTCCAAATTCTTGAAATGAGAGAATGTATTAGGGACAGAAGGATCAGTCAAGTGAGTGGATTTCAAAGTTGACATTGTTGACTTCGCCACTAACTAGATGTGTCTCTGTGGCAGGTCTTCGCTTTTCTTTGCCAGCGCATGGATTGAGCTAGAATATCCTTGCAGGCCTCTTTGGCTTTTGAAGACAATGGGCTTTTCTACATTTTGAATTCCTCCTCTTAGCAGATGTGAGGACCATCTGTGCTGAAGGCTGTGGACAGTCTCAGTCATTAGCCTAGTGTGACTTAACTTATGACTCTTTGTAAAGTAGAACTTAAGTAATTAAAGACTTCAGACTTGCTTGCTGGGAGCCTTTGATACCGGTGGCATTGTTGTAGAATTCCTTGTTGTTGCCCCGTTTATATCAGCTAGCTCATTTATCATCTGACAGAATAGTCTTTAAGTATATTAATTTAGAAATGTGATCTTGTTTGCAAATCATTAGCTAGCCATGGCATTATACATTTATTTAGGTATTAAATTCGTTTGTCTTAACTTTCTCTTAAAGATTTATTTTATAAAATTTTTCTTCTACAGTTCACAGCATTAACAATGGATCCAGTTTTTCACCCTTAAATCTTGAGTGTAAGCTATAGAGTTGTAATGACCAGATAATTGATACCAGCTTTTTTGTTTTACCTCAAGTGTTATGAATGATTCATAGAAATAGAAACCACTTTATTCTAATTGGAAATGTGAATATTTAGACTTCGGGAGAAGTAAACCCACAAAAGTTTAACCCTTTGGTTTCCATTGTTTTGACTCTGTATTCTAGTAGGTTCTGAACAGAAACCCTGGGCAGCAAAGCCATACAGATTCACTTAAGGCATGTTTCTATGCTGGAGGCTGTCAGCAGTCTCAGTGACTTAGCTTCTGTTTCATTAAGCGTTGGCAAGATTTGCCATTAGTTTGGCTTGAATCCTTTACTTCATGTGGCAAATCAATGTTGTAAATATGGCCTTTAATAACTGCTACATTGCAGGGGACCCTTATAAGTTAATATGTAGTCGTGACTTAAGATAATCTAAAAGTAATTGATAATGTTAATGTATATTACACAATTTTAAAACATTGATGATTCTCAATGACTTGTTTTAAAGTTATAGACGAAGTTTTATAGTTGTGCTTAGATCAAAAATTCAAATTTTTTTTAAAACAGAAGCTTTGATTATGAAATACAGAGTCATATAACATAATTAAGTTGCTTAGTTATTATTTATTGAAATAATGGATAATTAGGAGTTGATTTTTTTTTTTTTAATTAATGACTTATTTTTTCCAAACAATACTCTAATCGGTCCTAAGCATTTTATTACACAATGTTAATTTTATTCATTTTAATGGATGGACAGCTTAATCCTTCAAGCCAATCAGTATCTATCATTATGTCCTTTTTTTTCTTTCTTTCTTTTTTTTTTAAGTAGGTGTCTTTTTAAAAATGAGCATCTTTTATTTACAATTTTGTCCTTGGTTACAGGACCCTCAAGTGTCTCTTTTCTACCAGGTGTGGCTGAGCATGGCCTCGTGTGCCAGTCTTTCCCATCTCAGTATAAGAGCCACCCCCTCAAGACCCTGCACTGTGGTGACGTCCCTGGACTGGGCTTTCAGATTTTTTTAGAAGAAATATTTAGCCTGAGCTACTAGCCAAAAGTGATTCTTAAAATTCTTAGTCTTTGGCCTAGAAATAGAACATAAGTAATCATTATTTATTGCTATAAGTATATGTGGTTATTTAGTTTTAACATCTAAATAAAATGTCAGTTTTGCCAGTGAGCCAAATTAAAAATTGCTTCTTTTTCTGTTCTGCACATTTTTATAGTTCACCCCATTTAGTCTAGTCATAGCAACATAGAACAGTTAAATCCTTAAATAATGGCGTTTAGGTCCACTTTATTTGTTCTCTGTGATACCACTCAGATGGTCAAGTGAAATCCTAGCAGATAATACCTTTTTTTTTTTTTTTAATTAAAGAACAGAGGCAAAGGATTAACTTTTTTTCCAGTTTAAAATGGGTAGATTAATTCTTTCTTTTACATTTCATAATATTTAGGAGATAGTGTACATTTTTCTTTCCATGAATAGATTAAAAGCTTCCTCATACCAGAATTTTTAAATGAATAATTTTGTTCAGTTTCTACCCCACTTTACTGTATCTACTTCACTGAAGTAACCGAAATCTAAATGCTCTTTGGGTCACGGGTAGCTGCTGAGGGCAGTATGCCAAGTGTCTGGCTGGAGTGGTTTGTTAACTGACTTGTTAATGTAGGTTGCAACTCTAAGATAAGGCATTTCAGCTCCTGTGCATCGTGTTAAATTTTCTAGCACCACACGTGAGTATGTTAACAGACTTTTGTTTTCTTCTCTTAATTTAAAACTTGAGTTTTGGTGCCAAGTTATCTTTTCCATATGAGCTTCTTTTGGGGGCTTAAGCGATAGTCATTAATATTTACTGTTATTTACATCTAAAAATTGAAGCACACAGGGTCAAGTCTCAGTTCTGTCACTAGACTCCATGTTTGTATACTGTAAAAGGCCTAAATCTGGGTCTGAGAGTTAAATCGTGATCACCCTCAGTCTTTCTTGCTGGGGAGTGGGAGGTTCACTGTAACAGTGTTGCCTCAGCTTCACACTTGGTCTTTTTGATTAGAAGAAGGGCGTGTACTAACACAGCTGCCAACTAATTTTTCCTTGGGATAAGACAGGTTAAGTCAGTGTGATTTTTGGAGAAAGACTTAAAGCTTTGCTTTCTGCTGATAAGAAGGCCTTATACTAATGCTGTAAATAGCAGGTTCACTTTCAGAATTTTGGCTACTATTTTGTTTTCTTGAGAGGGAAAGGAGAATGTTTCCATGTCTTCTAAATATTAACATGGCTTCTAGATATTAACATGGAGTGAAGGGGGTTTAGCTGGACGTGAAGGACACTAGAACTACTTGAGCCTCAGACGTATTTGCAGGTCTCTTTTAATCCCACACTGTGTGGAGAAGGCTGGTGCCCAGCTGCAGGCTCACAGCCTTCCTAGAAGAGAATTTCCTTCGAGGCCATTTAGTCTGTAGCATCTAGATCAAGTGAGCTACATTTTGTCAACCTAATTACTTTGAACTTGGGAGGCACCTCACTGTGATCTCCAGGTAACTGGAGAAAGCTCTAACCTGAGATAATAAGTAGAGTGATTCACTGTAGAGCATTCATTCTTGCCTAATTTAGAAAATAGGCACAGTTGTCTGAAATAACAGAAGCCTAAAATGAGATGCCAACAGATGGTTTTTTAATGCTATAGGAAAAGAAATGCTGCTAAACTTTTAGAAATTCTTAATTAAAATGGAATTGGCTTACTATGGTTCAAAATCAGTGGCCATTAATGACCCACCTTTATTTGCTTACCTTGAAGCCCAGCCTAGAGGCAAAATTTTCACCAGGACAAATATGTCTGATGAGGGCACTTAATATTAGTGTCAGAAATTCACTTGCATCTTTTGTCCTTAGTAGAAATGAACTTAGTTTCACATTATTAGCCATCATTTTTTAAATCTCTGTTTTTTAGTTCATTTGCTGCTTGTTTGTCCTTCAGGATAATAGTCTAGTTAAGACATTTGTTAGAATTATGGCTGAGACAGTCTTCAGATGCCTGAGCTCTAGTTGCCCTCACGTCCTAGGCCTTGCCCCTCCTGGTTGCACGACAGCTTATCTGTCTAACTCGCTATCTCCTGCTCATCCCTTCTCTGCAGTGCTGCGCGTGGGGATGTCTCTTCTAAAGGTCCTAATACAGGTTCCCTGCCAGGCAGTAACAGATGTAGTCTGACAGTGTTCCCAAGTTATTGACCAGTTTAGTTTAGAATTTTGATTGTTTTAAACCATTGCTTTTACAGGTAGTGCGTTCACGTCGAGCCAGCGATAGCCTGATGTTTCTTTCTTACTGAGTTAAAGTGAGAGCATGTTGCATATATAGCACACTCCTGAATGATGAGCTTGTGTTTTAATGTCTGTAGACAAGATTGTGGCTCAATTATAGCATAAAACTGTCCTCGGTAATGTTGAACTTGAAATGAAAACTTGGCACCAAATTTATTCAGGTAGAAACTTTTTTAAAAAATAGTTTCTTCCTGTTGTTAACTAAAGAATATATTTAAGAAAGTCTTCCTAATTATGTAAGTTTGGATACCAAAGGGTTAAAAATACACAATGTGTTTTTTACTGAAGAAATTTTAGATGTTTGCTTATGTTTTATCTGTACAAATGGACATTTAGTAATGTTTTATCTTTTTTTTTGTAATGATTCCATTTATTTGCTTATTTCCATCTAGGAATAGTTACTAATGTATTTGTGATACAGCATACCAAATTTTAAAGTAACCAGAATCGTGAGTTGTTGGTTTTTTAGTCCATACTCTTAAACTTTTGTTAAAATATTGACATACTTAAATTGGCTTCATGCTAAAAATTACAAGAGGTAACTTAACAGGTAGTGTTGGGAGCAGCCACTCGGCGTCAGGATGGTGACAGGCCGGTGGCTTAGCTCAGCAATTGCTTCTGCACCCCATGTGTGTATATGTATTTTTAATCAAATGTTGCCTGCAAATGTGATCCCTTATTATTTAAGTTTCCTGTGTATGCACCATTGCCCGTTTTAAGTCACACAGAAGATTCTGAATCTGTAAAAACTACACGTGTCAATGTTTTACAGCTACGTAATTCGAATTGACTTGATTTTTTCAAGTAATCCTAGAAAGGGGGAGCATTCCATATAGAAACTGCTG